AGTAGGAAATAGGGTACAAAAGATTACGTCTAAATGACAATAGCTTTAGAACAGAAAATGCTATGGCAATGAATTATACATCAAACGAAAGCTTATGATCTGTAGAATAGGCTAGGGACAAAAGTAAATGTTACAATTTTACAAGCTTTGAATTAAACGAATTAACGTCCCCAAAAATAGCTTCCGTAATTTGTTAAGGCTTCTTGTTTTGCGGTTCACATCATCTTCCCCCTTGACGAAAAAAAAGTTTTGTTAACACTGCCATTGACTGCGTGCATAAGGGAAACTGGACGGCGTTGTGGTCATTGTAAAAGAAAAAGGACCAATTTGGTTAACTGGAAGGAAAAAAAAAGAAAAGCGGTTAGTCACTAATTACAAACAGTAGCTAATATATCATCGGTATCTCCCCCCGGAAAAGTATGCTCCTTTCTTTGGGTCCATCTGCATAATATCAAGTCCTTTGCGTTTCTGTCGTGATCTCCCAATAGGATGTTGTTGAGGTTGAACAGTCTTCTTAGTTGCAGAATTTTCTATGCCGAAACTGTCCAAGGAAAATTTCCACATTGAGCACGGTTTCTGGGCTTTCTGTGAAGGTGAGAATCGGGAACGACGATAGATTTTCCGCTTTGCCCCATGATGGCGATTCCATTGAGTTCCGATCTTTCTCACAACTATTATGGGAGGAGCCCAGTTTGAGTGATTTACTGGCTGAACAACACCTAGTGCTTCAAACCTTTCAAGTTCTTGATCAACGACTGACAGAGCAGCATAATTTACTGGTCGTTTGAGTCTGAAAATGGGCTTTGTATTTCGCTTTCGTAGATTATTTGCGTGAGATGCAGCCGGCATTTTAGAGGAATTAAATGCATGAGATTTTAAGACCTTATGATAGCATACTTTGTTCGACGAATTTGATGGAGAATCATTTTGTGAACATGTTCCATCGGAGTTATTGGATTTAACATCATTGTGAGAACACATTAAATCGGATGTAATCGATTTAGTATCATGAGAACACATTAAATCGGAGGTATTTGATTTGACATCACGATGAGAACACATTAAATCGGAGGAATTCGATTCAGAAATAATACGAGAACATTTTACATCAGAAGCATTTACTTCATAGACATTAGGGGAACATGACACACCAGAGGCATTTGATTTAGAAATATCATGAGAATTTTGGATAGAATCAGAGCAAGAATCATGAGAACATACTTCATTTAATAAACTATTTAAGACATCAATCTTCTCAATCCAGTCCAATCCCAATAGATCTAAATCATGCCGATTTGTTAGATAACAAACGTCAGTGAATTTATGTTCCTTGAACTGCACGTTGCAGGTGACTTCTCCAGTTAGCTTCACTATGTCGCCTGAAGCATTTCGAGCAACATGCTCTGTTGGTCGGATGCGTGGGCACCCTAGCTTACGCCATGTGTTCTTGGAGATCAGCGTAATGTCGGAAGCAGTGTCTAATTGAAGACGAATAGGTTTTTCATTCACTAATAAGTTCACATACTTCCGTTTACTTTGAAATCCCACTTTAAAAGTTGCAAATGTGCTTTTGACTTGACTCTGTAGCTGTCGCTTCACCTTTACGCCACGATGTTTGGACTGACGTCTATCTGATGAGCAGTAACCTTCTTTATGACCAATGCGATGACATTGGCGGCATTTGTGGCTCTTAAATGGGCATAACTTCACAAAATGCCATGATCCGCAGAACCAACATGATGATGGTGGTTTACCAGAAGGTTTCTGTGTGTTCGCCGTCTTTTGTTTGGAAGGTTTGGAAGATCTGCATGCATTTATTGAAGCAAAATTGGAAGTCTTTGCATTTTGCTGTACCATCGTGGTATCATGTTTAAGATTTAACAACCGTTGACACTCGGTTGTGACCATTTGCAGGGTCATGTTAGGCTCCTGCTCAATGCGTGATAGAATTCTGGTACGTATGTCCATATCTTCCGGATTCTTTAATCCACAGATAAAAATCAGACATTTAAATTGATCTGCTGTAATTTCATTTATTCTAAAACGTTCGCATTCTTTATTTACATGTCCAGCGTATGTAAGATAATCATCAGATAAGGATTTAGATATTTGAAAACACTGATAACGGATGCTGAATAATGAGGATTGTTCACCAAAAATTTTAGATAAAATTTGAACTGTCTCATTAAATGATAAATCTCGTGGATTTTGTGGCAAAATGAAATTTACATATTTGTTATATTCAAGTGTTCCAAGTCTTCTCAAGAGTAGGCGAACTTTGGCTGCATCATCAAGATTCGAGCATTCAACACGAAATGTGTCTTCAAAACGGCGAAACCAGGAATCGAAAATAATACCAGAATCGGGATCATAATTGAATTCACAAATAGAATTTGCGATGCTGTCATATTTATCTGACTGAGAATTTGATGATGAATGAAATGAGAGCTTCTGCATCAATGCATCTAAAAGCTTCATTTGGTTTGCATCATTCTGAGCTTGCTGGATTTGTAGAATAGTTTTAAGGTCGTCCAAAGAAACAGACATTTTGATTTGGATCAATCAATATTTAAAAAAAAAAAAATCTCCGTCGCCACTTTTGTTACGTCCTTGAATCTGTCTACCCACTTAGTGCGGAGTATAATGTAGATTAAGACCTTGACACGATAGACTGACTGGCTTAACCTTGAGGACAATATGCGTGAGTTCGAAATAGGGGTAGAGAGACGAAAACTATTCTGTCCCTGATTGGCTGGCAAGCACGAGAGAGAGAGAGAAGACAAGACAGATGGAACACTAATCACTTTATTCCAACCCGATCTAGCACTCGAATTCCCAATTCAGATTAGGGTGAAAAGTTACATGAATAAATAGATGACTAAGCGGACCACAACGTACAATAATTAGAAAAATACAATCATGTCCAAAACTGGGGAATTATAGTAGGAAATAGGGTACAAAAGATTACGTCTAAATGACAATAGCTTTAGAACAGAAAATGCTATGGCAATGAATTATACATCAAACGAAAGCTTATGATCTGTAGAATAGGCTAGGGACAAAAGTAAATGTTACAATTTTACAAGCTTTGAATTAAACGAATTAACGTCCCCAAAAATAGCTTCCGTAATTTGTTAAGGCTTCTTGTTTTGCGGTTCACATCAATCTGGAAATTCATAAACGTACAAAAGAAGAACTTATATTCGAAATACGCAGTATGAAATTGTATTATATCATCATACTAGGTTAGTAGATCACCAAAGTAGATGGTTTGTGTCGAATGATTGGGGACCTAATAGAGTCAGACGGAAATGTAGTGAACAACCAGCTAACGTCGAAATCACACCTCACGACTAGCCTTTCGTCATATTCAGGTACTACGGATACCTTGATGAGCGTACAACACAAACGACGTTATTATAGAAATATATGATGAGGTTATAACTTATGGACGACCTTTGGGCAACGCTCAAATGACTTTGAAATGTCCACCTACATACTAGGGTTATATGAGGATTATATATTAGTGTGAGGAATTAAAATTAGTATTTACAGTTAATCGTTAGGGTTAGAAATCAGATTTAATGTTTTAACCACGAATTACTATCGGCTATAATGCCAAAATGGTATTTAGCTAAATGAGTGAATGAATTTCACTCCAAAATCCAAGCTCTTAAATCTGATTGGTTCATCCATAAATTATAGTCTCGCCAAATTTATCAGTAAGAGTAGGTACTAGGAACAGAGTGTGCTCACCACCGAATGGGCCAATCCATGAAGTGCAAATGACTGGAGCGCATTAATTGTCCTTGACCTTAGTAAGGATCGGTGAACTGTTCGATACTCAGTGACCCGACTGCTGGATGACAGTGACATTTCAACGGCGCTACATATTTAAAAACAACATAAAATATTTAACTCTACATTGAATATGCTGGTTATTTACTACTATTTTAATGTTGGTTTATTCATAGTAATTTAAAACTAAAAAGAAAATTTGTAAGATTGTTTATTCATGTCTAATGCATATATATCAGAAGGGGGTTTGTGGAGATTTTAGTAATTTACTAGTTGAATTCATGAGTTAATTAAAGTTAGATCACTATGGAAAACTTGAAAGCACTGCAAGGCCATCTCGTCCCTCATGTAGGACTCTTCAGCAGTGAGCATACACGATCCCGATTTAGTATTCAATCAAATGTAGTTACCATTGTCCTAATTTAAATATTAATTGATCCAATAAATAATCAAAGATTGTGAATATAAAATTCATTTAGTATTGTTCGTTTGAATCTTCCGATTGATGTTTTTGGACTGCAACTGGTCGGTCTCTAATTGACATATGTGTATACTGTGCGTATTGTCTCTATATTGTTATATCTAGAGTCTTGATTCTTAATATGCCGCGAACTACTTGACTACTTGAACGATAGAACCCGCAACGTCGCAAAGAGAGAAGACAAAGACTGGTAAGCAAGAAGTTTATTGCCCCGAACAATGTCAAAATATAGCACAGAAATCTCGTGTATTTATAGTTATTGGCTGAAAATAAATTATCATTTAGGTCAACCAATAAGCACATAGGTATCAAACTAATCCATCCAATGGAGAAGCTCCATGTTGGCATTTCTAGAACATTCCCCTAGCCGTGATTGGATGGAATGTCTACGGCTCTTCCTGGGCTTCCTAGAGCCTCCTCGACTTCACCTGTGGACCATCCTCACAATATAGCCTAAATTCACAAGCAAGTGGCTATCAGGAATCAGTAGCTGAGTGGATATCGCGATGACGTTTCAAGCGAAAGGTACTACTGAGCTAGAATCCCAGAGTGAACATCAACTCTGAGATACAGGTACATCCAAGTGACGAGTCCCAAATAGAACGAAACGCGCCTTCTGAATTCTATTGCTAGCCAATATCCATCTTTGCTTAACATGAGTGTGAATATCAGGTACATATTCAAGGTTTATACTTTACTTTGAAAAAGAAAGAAAAAATTAACATAACTAAACTATATTTTACAAAAAAACAGGATTGATAAGGAATAATAGACTAGTCAGTTTGCGATTAAGTTATTGAAACACTGAATAAAGTTTTAACATAATTGTTCTGGACATTTCATTGGCCAGTCGATGAACCAAAGAATACCATCTTCTCCAACCTTGTTCCAATCAATCACCATGGACTAAGAATAAACATACAGGGAAAAAAAAACACAAAAACAAGCGAATCACTTAGATGTATGAATACTGTTAGTGATTTAAATTGGATACATTACTGAAATAATAATAAAGTTGGCTAGTTTGGCTTATTAGTCTCAGTCAGTCAGTCACAACGTAGAACATCGTACGTACGTACGTACATCAGTTCGAGTTGCCATACCACATTAACACAGAGATGCAGATGTCGATTCAAATCACATAGTGGTAGAGGTAGTAAGAGTATAAGCATTATGTGAAAGATTAGGGTTTGAAGATGTTATTGAAGAAGTATAATCCAGTGGAATAAATTTGGAAAGAGAAAAAGGATAGGGACATGAAGAATTCAGAGGATTAGAATTTGGAGGAACACAAAGAGTGGATGCACCTTCGCCACTGTAAACGATTTCGAGCCATGTCATTCAAGGTCTCTAACCATCGCTTGCTATCATCTCGCGAATCCCAACCAGGTAGTCTACACCTACCAACATGGTTCAGTCCACTTGTCAGTGACTTCATGGATTTGTGCCACGTTTTAGGCTGGCCGCCCCTATCTTTATTCCAACCTACTCTTACACCATAAAACATTACTTATTAGCCTGGTCAACATTGAGTTATACTGCAAAAAATTGAGTTCTAGGTAGTCTAGAAACTAGGTTAGTTTAGTTACTTAGCATTATCTCATCAAAATTAGTGTAGTGAACGAAAACATGAGCGAGGACCACTAAATGTATTTTAATGCATTATTACAGAAAATCTTGGTAAAATCTGAGAACTGTACAGTAAATAATTCATTTGCAAAATATCTATCAATTGTCTCAGATTTTGTCTTTCCTTCCTTTTTATACCTGCAGTGACCTGCTTTTCTCGACGAGAACGCGATTGGTATAATGGAAACAATTATTATTATAACCAATTGTACCAGTGATTGTTTTACTGTACTCAATGTTGTTTAACTGTATCAAAATCACTTCTCGTTCTTCTGTCCATCTTGTTCGCTCGAACTTTCTTGTACTCTGCCTTTATTGCCTGTACTCGTTGGCACGTCTCGGTATTCTTTCGATACCACGAGATCGCTAATAAATATACTTTATCTGGACTAATTACAGCCTTCTGGTTTACGAGCTATCAAAGGAACCAAGTCGATTTTGGGTGCGTAGGGGTGATCATAGTCAGTCGAGAATCAACGCCATCTACATACGAATCACTCACTATTCTCCTTCTCTTCCATTTTATCAACTTTCTTCCATCAGACATTCCACTATCAATAGATGATACATACTACTTATATCTGTCGACATCAGTAGTACACACCATATTAGATAGACTATATATGTATGGACAATAATATTCAAGGAAATTTCATAATGAACAGATATATAACTAACAATGTCATATAGAATAAAAGAAATTCAGCATTACCCATAATTCTTCTTTAAGATCTTTATGACCAACAAAAGTATTACCATCTGGAGTACGTTTAATTAATAATTTTACTTTTTTCCCTTGTAAATCCGTTAAAAGTGATTCAACTTCAAGTACACTACCACGTTCAATAAAACCATCATCACTACCAAAAAATCCATGTGGAATAGTATGTAGTTGTAATAGCTATTCAAAAGAAGAAGAAGAAGAATACCATATTCATTATTGAACAGTTTTATTCAATAAATTAATTAACACTTTTAATTCAAAATAGAATCTGGTACCAAGTAATAACAGATAGATGAATTGTATATCATACCACAAAGATTATATGGATTCAATTAGTATTGTTTGTTTGAATCTTCCTACTGATGTTTAGGACTGCAACTGGTCAGTCTCTAATTGGCATATGTGCATACTGTGCGGATTGTCTCGACATAGCCTAAATTCACAAGCTTGGTAAGCAAAGATGGGTAGTGGCTAGTAGTGGAATCCAGTTTGCCGAGCGTTTCTTCCTATTTGGGACTCGTCAGCTGGTTGTACCTGCATCTCGGGGTTAATGTTCACTCTGGGACTCAAACCCAGTACTGTTCACTTTAAATGCCACCTCGTTATCCACTCAGTTACTGAGTCCTGTTAGCAAATAACATCAAGTGAATTTAAACTTCACCTCATTGCAAAGCAAGTGTCTTTCAGGACTAAGTGGTCAAGTGGATAGCGTGATGACGTTTGAAGCGAAAGGTACTGCGTTTGAGTCCCAGAGTGAACATCAACCCCGAGATACAGGTACAACCAGCTGAAGAGTCCCAAATAGGAAGAAACGCTCGGCAAACTGGATTCCACTACTAGCCACCATCCATCTTTCCTTATAAAGATTATAGTGATTCATATTGTTAAACTTGAATGAAATTGAGAATTAAGATTTACTGGAAGATAAAACGTTTAATATATAAGAATTCTCGTCTAGCGAATAGTTTCACAGTATTTGAGCGCCGATTTGATGTAAGATATTATATAGGAATAATATATATTTGTTAAATCTCAGCGAATGAATTTGTAGTAAATCCAACATTTCGCCTGGCAAGGAATTCCATGAAACTCCTTGAAAAAGCTTGGACCAGATTGCCAGGCGAAACGTTGGATTTACTACAAATTCATTCGCTGAGATTTTACAAATATATATTATTCCTATAAAACGTTTAATGTTTATAATAGCCATATATTTTCTAAATAATATAATCTTATATTTCTAATTATGGATGATAGTTATCTCTTTTAAAATTCAGGACCGAAATTGCCTCCCCCCAACCAATATACTACGTTTTTCTAATATTCTACACGTTATATAATTACAAGTTACTTGATGATTCCATTATGCTTTAATGTCTCTGACTGTGAAGCTGGATGACACGGAATCGAATCTGTCATGGAGCATCAGTTCCCTCGAGATTATAAGTACACCTTGCTAACAAGTGCCAAGTAGAACGAAATCTAGGTCCAAGGTTTCCTATTGACTACCTCCAAACACCATCTTATTTAAAAAAGAATTATAATGACTAACTATTGTTAAAAGAAGTACATATATATACATGATTAGATAATTTTACTTTACGATTTTGTTCAACTGAATAAGAATTTTCTAAATTTCTTGTTTTCCAACCTAAATCAATCGGTGCCAAAAATAGAACATTTGGTGAATGTTGATTTAATTGTTGACGAAAATTAGTTGAAATGAATTTCGTAAAGATTTCCCTATTATTTTAAAAGGTAAAAATAGAAGTAAAGGATATTTCATTGTTTAATAGGTAGCTAATGATACAATCGATTAATCTGTAAATAATAATCAATATATAACGTGATGGCGTCTGAAGCGAAAGGTACTGGGTTCGAGTCCTAGAGTGAACATCAACTGTGAGATGCAGGTACATCCGTCTGACAATTCCCAAATAGGACGAAACGCGCATCAAACTGGATTCCACTACTAGCCACTATCCATCTTTGCTTACAATGCTTGTGAATTTAGGCTATATCGAGGCAATACACACAGTATGCACATATGCCAATTAGAGACTGACCAGATGCAGTCCTAACACATCAATGGGAAGATTCAAACAAACAATATCAAGTGAATTCAATATAAGTTTCGTTTTGTTTCAATCGAGTTGAATGTTTCCACTAGCTGAAGTGACTCAATATCACTTGTACTATGTTCGGATATGAAATGGCTATCTATAATGTAGGGTTTCCTATCAAAAGAAGTAGTCAAGAAGTTTGTGTATCTGGGTAGCTGTATAAGTGCTGGTGGTGGCGTGAATGATGAGATCAGTTCACGTATAGTGGAAGCCAGAGCGGCTTATGCCAATCTAGGCCATGTTTGGCGCCTTAGTGATGTTAGTCTGACTGTAAAATATAGGTTAGAGCATCGGTGAGAGCATTTTCGCTCTATGCTTGTGAAACCTGTCCTCTTCGAGTTGAGGATGTGAAACGACCCTCTGTGTTTTATCATCGTTATATCCGAAGGATTGCCGACATGCAGTAGCAACACAATGTTAGTAAGGCAGAGATTCGGAATTATGTGTTCAGGCACAGCGAAGATAATTCAGTTGGTGTCACTATCCTGAAACATCGAATTCGGTAGCTTGGACATGAACTATGAGTGCCGTCTCAGAGAATTCCTTGTCGTGTAATATTTGCCAAAGCTGAGACTGGTTGGAAAAAGCGAAGAGGTGGTCAATGTATGACATGGTGTCACGATATGAAAGAAAGCTGTACAGGATTGGATTCTGTTGGTCCCTCACGACTCCTTGGTCGGGGTCGAAGAGATAGTGCAACATAGTGGTTAGAGACGTTATCAGATATGGCTTATGATAGAAGCTAGTGACGATCCTGCTGTAAATTTATTTTACTTTCTTCATAAAAATGGACGTAACTTCTTTAACTAGAAGAATTCTTTTTGATTGTAGTTTTGTTAACTTAACTGCCTCTCTCATTATTATTATTATTATTTCACTCTCGCACCAGAGCACTTAATTGATAGACCAATGAAATCTCCACAAAAAACCCCTTCTGATTATAATCATATACTCACTAGTGACTGACTCCATGAAGTATTTCATGGAGTTCTAGTGAGAAGCAGTGATCAATGAAGTTCAATCACGTCTTTTTTGAGATAACAACTCATTGAAGACAATTGGTGAACGGTTGCTCAAACTTTGTGGATTGGTTGAAGTTAGACATTAACACTGTTGGATGACGGCTCAGTGGTTTATTATTTCACTCTCATAAACTAATTTCTATTCGTTATTGTACCCCTTTTTCTTAGATGCAACTTACATTCCTATCTCTTCATATTTTCATTGTTGTTGTGTGATGCATATGTATCTGATGCGCCTTTGTACCAATGTTTATGCGTTCAAGTCAATAAATAGGCAAACCAAACACAATCAATAATCAATAGTGTGGACAACATGAAAAAATAGCCAAATTTGGGGGTGTCCTCACTTGATAAAGTTATAAAAAATACGTAAAGTACTAACTTACTTTGTATTTGATTTTTGTTGAATCAATGAAGAAATATCCCCTTGAGGTGGTAAATTTACTTGTTTTACAATATGTATAACTCCATCATGAAATTTTATTGGATGTAAATCTGTCGCTTCAGCATGATTAAATGTTAACTGTAATATAAGACAAAAAAGAAAATAATATGTGTGTTATTTTCTTTTTGAACTTCACCTGTTGCTCCTTCGGGGGCTACTGTTGGTTCCAAGCCCGGATAAAGGAGAAGGGTTGAGCATAGGGTTAACGACCCCATCCCGTAGAATACTAACTCGATAACATGGTAATCATGGTAAGTCATATGACGTAATTGAATATTGTGTGTGTTGACATATTCGACTATAAGCATCATAAGCATCAAGGTGTTTCTTTGAATTTCTGTTTTCTCGATACTCATCAACAGATGCCATTCATATGAATTAAAACATCCTTCCTACAATATTTTATCATATCACTGTATTGTTGAGTAACTTCACCTTTAAAATACTAGTCTTTCATAAACATATTCAATGACAGTGCTATTTCAATAGCTAAACTGATATTATATTGATGACTGTTATTTATGACTAATCATTCAAATACCCATTGATATGAGACTAAATGAATTATATAGATTAGTAGCTTGAAAAATTACTTTTATGTGTACTGATAAACACTGATGAGCGGCCTGTGCTTCTCCACGAAGTAACAGGAGTAAGTAAGTAAGTAAGTAACAAGCACTGCAACATATAACATATAAGTATTTTAACTATTCAAAAAAATAACAGAATTTAGGTGAACTGAAATTGAATATATAAAACATTAAATACTAGTTGACTAACCTGAACGAAAGTAGGTTTATCATAAGGAATCTAAGTTATAGGCTCGATTGTATGTAAGGTTATGAGTAAGAATCTAAGAGATATTCCAATCAAGTATTAACCAAATATTCGCATAGTTGAAATCATGAGTCGATTGAAGTTAGATCATCATGGAGAACCTGGAAGTACTGGACGAGCGTTTCATCCTATTGTGGAACTCCTCAGCAGTGTGCATCCACGGTCTCGCGCGGCGAGATTCGAATCCAGGACGTATCAGTCTCGCGTGCGAGCACTTAACCTCTAGAACACCGAGCCGGCCGGCATCCAACGGTGTTAATGTCTACTTTCAACTAATCCACGAAATTGAGCAACCATTCACCAATGTCTTCAGTTTATTTATTTATTTAAACACGTAAATATTGATACAAGGAAGCACCAGATACATATGCGTTGCACAAATCTCATTTGGTTTGTGTGGCGGCTGAGATACTGCCCAGGTGATTTTTTAGGGAGTCACACCCCGAGCCTTTAAACTACAGGTCTGATCCACAATGCAGTGGAGTATCGTAAGGAAATACAGTCTCATGGTAGCCGGTGATCAACGATTGATTAATACGCCATTTGTTCCCTCAGGATACTGAAGATCATGTGCACCACTTATGTGGAATCAGGGTTTTTCAATTCTCCTAGGTGGACTCACCGTGTCCACCAACCCCGTTAAAGCTCCGGATATTCGCTTTTCGTCCTCTCAATTTCGTAAACAACAGTAATGGCACGAGAATGCAGTGAGTAGGACTTCCCTGACAGAAGCTTTATACGCGTGGCTATGTGAGAGCATTTGAAGAGGGAGAGCTGACTCTCCTCACTCTCCGCCGTACCAGGACATTTCGGGGCAATATCTTCAGTGAGTTGATATCTCCCAACAGACCTGGTTGAACTCCACTGATTACTACTTCTCACTAGAACTTCAGGAAATACCTGATGGAGCCAGTCACTAATGAGCATCTATAAGTTGTATATATATATATATATATATATATATATTGTATAAGTTCTCTATGAGATCATTTCAGTCAAATTGTCAGAATAATCATTGGGTAGTAGTAGTAATATCAGTAGTAGTAGTAGTAGTAGTAGTAGTAGTAGTAGTAGTAGTAGTAGTAGTAGTAGTAGTAGTAGTAGTAGTAGTAGTAGTAGTAGTAGTAGTAGTAGTAGTAGTAGTAGTAGTAGTAGTAGTAGTAGTAGTAGTAGTAGTATTAGTAGTATAATTTGACAATACTTCATCATGAATTATAATTATTATACACAATATTATAAAACTTACTTTTGTCCCATGTCTTGTTTTAATATATCTACTATAAACCGAATATTTAGATCCATCTAATGTAGAATATTGTGTTGTAAATTCTTGTTCTTGATTAAACCCAGTTTTATATGCATCAATATTTTGTGGATTTTTTATTTGTAATAAATGATGTAAATATAATTTACATTTATCTAATTGAATTTGTTTCATATTCTCTTTATAGAATTTAGCTATGAAAAAAAGTAAGAATATATAGAAAAGAAATGTAAATGTATTTGTCAGAAGGGGGGTTTTGTAGAGATGCCAGTATTTTCATAGTGGAAAGCATGATTCAATTGAAGATAGACCATCATGGAAAACCTGGGAGCACTGGACTGCCGTTCCATCCTATTGTGCGACTCCTCAGCAGTGCACATGCACGACCTCGCCTTGCGACTTTCAAACCCAGGACCTACCAGTCTTGCGCAAGAGCACTTAACTGATAGACTACCGATGGTGTTAATGTCTAACTTCAACTAATCCACAAAGTTTGAGCAAGCGTTCACCAATTGTCTTCAGTGAGTTACTGTCTCACAATATATGTAGTTTGAACTCCGCTGGTCACTGCTTCTCACTAGAACTCCAGGAATTATCTCTTGAATTCAGTCGCTAGTGAGCATATGAAACGGCCGTCCAGTGCTTCCAGATTTTCCTTGGTGATCTAGCTTTAATTGACTCATGCTTTTAACTATGAAAATTTATTTATATTTATTAATGTATTATGTAATTAAGTCAATTGGATAATCACTGTGGTATAAGTTGCTCATATCCATATAAGTAGTATATGACGATGGTCAAGCAGAGAATGTATTTCAGTAGAAGATCGATAAGGAAAGAACCGAAACGAAACACAATTGGTATGAAAATGCATAAACAATAATAATCGAAGACCATGGACAGATATTTACAGAAGGAATGGTCAAGATTGAGACAATTGATTGATAGTTTGCATACTAACCATTTACTGGATGGTTGTTAGATTTTAGTGAGATAGTTTGTCATTTTTGTATCAAATACTTTCGATTGTCCTCATTTGTGTTCTCATTGATTACAATCACATTTTCATTTTATTGATTAATGAAATGATCTATGTTCGTTTGATACTGTTAATCACTTTCATTATATTTATTTTTGTAATAAAAACTATGTATATTGAGATGTATATTGATTGTTTAGGATTGAACTTGATCATTCTTCGAGATTCAGGTAAATTCATCTGATGAATCTCAAATAAGACGAAACATATGTCCTGTATTACACTGTAGTACCAGTTCATATGTTAGGCCCATATACTTTATTCTAGTTACTGGCCAAGCCAATTCACCTGTACATTGAGTCATCTTTTGATCTTGTTAATCATTTGCTTATTAACCTTGAGTACTTTTTATATGAGCGCATATGTGTACACTTCGTATCTTATTCATCATATGTCTGTCACTCATTTTTGCCTGCCTATAAATGTTAGTTAACGCTTGCTTAAAATGAGTTGGCTTCCCAGCCATCTCCAATACTCATCATCTTTGCTTCGCTTGCTTACAGTTGCTCATGTGCTTACAACTTTCTGGTCTGCATCGATTATCAATAAAAATGTAGTTGCCGCTTCCCTTTGCCTTCTGATATTATACACCGTTAAGATTGGTTATAATAACGGTTATCGAAGCGAACTATGATCGAAGCACGGCACTACAACACTATCAACTACCATCCATTTCTGCTTATCTATAAAATGTCTATCATTTGACTGAAAAACGAAAAATGCTTCATATAGGATGTTTAAACCTTTGGTAGTCATTTATTTAAAAGAATATTAGAATAGATCTGTGCTCTAGTCGCTAATCATCATTATCGTATACAACTTTTAATCGAAAGTTCTTTCATTTTCTTATCTTTATTGACTATATTACTTACTATTATTCAGTAATTACTAATTGTTACCAACCATTTTGAAAACAGCTCATGGTATAGCATAGTTTTATTCGTGATATCCAAGTTATTATTGTAATTGGATTCTTTCATTCTTGTTAATAGTCTGTTTTAATGTTTATTGGCTGAATATTTGTTTGCTTGTGAATTCGTTAGATGATTTAACAATTGTGTTGATTCACTTAGTGTTGTTTGATTATATCTTCCCATTGTTATTTAGGAGTGCGATTGATCAGTCTCTTATTGGCATATGTGTATCCTGTAGGACGAAACGCACATCCTAGATTTCACTGTTAGTCATTATCTAATTTTTTGTTTATAAAGCTTTTGACTTCAAGGAATATCAAGGCAGTCCACATAGGATTCACATATGTCAACAAGATACTGATCAATTGCAGTCCTAAATAACAATAGGATGAAACAAGTAAACAACACCAAGTGAATTTCACAAGCAGGTGGTTAACAGGACTCAGTAGCTAAGTGGATAACCTGATGACGTTTGAAGCAAACGTTACTAGGTTCGAATCTCAGAGTGGACATCAACTCTGAGATGCAGATACATCCAGCTGACGAGTCCCAAATAGGACGAAAATCTTGTCCTGCATTTCACTACTAGTCACTATCCATCTTTGCTTATAATCGTGCCGATTGATTCTAATAAAGCAACCTATTAAGATTCCGAAATGTTCATGATAAAATACTGAAGTTCAAGTAGTACTGTTAAAATAGTTATTAACTTCCTTTTGGATAAGTGATTTCTTTGTTATTCCCATATATAACTACTATTTGTATCACTACACAAACAATGGAACGATTCATTCCAAGAAAAACGATTTAGAAAGATCTGATAAACATTTTCAACCAAGGTCTAAATATCCGAAGTAAAGACTACTCACTCCTCTAATGAAAGGGATGATGTTCACTATAACACCTGAAAATCATGGGTTAAATTTAGTATATTGCACAAGCTATTCAGGGGATTTTATCTAAAAACCAACCTCACTTATTCAACCCTCTTTACTATCTATGATTAGCCAGTTGGTATTAATTTACAATGAAAATTATTGGAATGCGAAAAATTAGGCTAATCGCTTCTTTTAAATGTTGGTTTCATGTTTAATCAAAAGGTGAAAGGGGGAAGGAATAGATTAAATAATGAATTGGATAGTTAACATCTACCTTGAATACTTCTATATAAGATTACAGCAAGGATGCTTGTAGAATAGTTAATTCCTCAATTATAATAAGAAATTATCCCTGTACTGATTTATGATCATGTTAGCGGGACATAGATTGGATTAAAGCATGTTTCATGCATGATGGTGTTGCTGCACGCTGATTGGCTAATTCTTATCCAATCAGCTCTAGTTGTTGCTTGGAGAAGACTGTAGAAGCTTCTCATGTAAAATCTATAAATATACTAACGTATTTCTTATTTCACTTCCTACTTTATCTATCCTTGTTATTTGAAATATAATTTCTTCCCTGTTCAACTGTGTTCTAATTTGGGGACTTGTCGAGTGTATTGGTGTCCAAGAATACTAAGCAATTGGGAATAGCTGGGTAGTAATAAGGAATATATATTAATAGTTATAACAGATCATTTATCTCATACATAGATTGACTTACATTGGAAAGCACCATCATTCGATAAAAGTATAACATTATCACGACCAGTTCCAAGATTCATTTGACATTTACGCATTTCACTAGCAGCTTGTTTAACACCTAATGAAGGATTATTTTCTAAGCATTCAAGAGCTTCATTTAACTTCATTGCTATAGAGAGAAAGATAAATCATGTATAATATCAAAAATCTTCACTATTAGACCAAGAGACATACTACATATAGGATTATACTTCATTTATATAACCTAATCGCATGGTAAGCAGCTAGACGTTACTCATCTCAATGTATAGATCTTACCAGCTTGATGATTTCAAACACAAATTTTGATGTGATCACTGATGGATTGTTGAAAAGTGACCAAGCTTATGGAAATACCATCCTAGACTAGACAATCCATGAACAATTAATCGATGCATTTCATAGATGATATTGTAGGGCCAGTAAAATATCACTGAACCCTAGCCAAATCATCCAGTAGTTGGGTCACTAAATATCGAACAGATCATCGATCCCCGTCAAGGTCAAGGACAATCAATGCGCATCAGTTAATCATACTCCATGGACTGGCCCATGCGGCAGTGGTTCTAGTTTGGCTTGTATCTATTTTAATTAATATATTCCTGTAATAACGTCCTTTGCGTTGTACAGTCTTCAGAGCATCCATGGTTCCTTGATACGTCGATGGAGCAATCCACGTAAGGTGCTAATCGCGAGGTGTAACTTTGAAGTTAGCTTGTTCGTTGTAACGTACCCGTCTAACTTGAGTAGGCCTCCAATCATTCGACATAGATCATCAACGTTGATGGTCTATTAAGGCAAGAGTAAAGATTTCGTCATCTGTATACCTTATAACTAAAGCCTAAACAACAGGATACTAATTACTACTCAGTAATTAATTACTGTAGTAGTAGTAGTAGTAGTAGTAGTAGTAGTAGGACTAGGAGTAGTAGTAGTAGTAGTAGTAGTAGTAGTAGGACTAGGACTAGGAGTAGTAGTAGTAGTAGTAATGTTGTAGCGGAGAAGAACGCAAGTGGGGACAATCTCATGTAATTAGGCATACAATTACAGGACATTTTGGTAACATCTAGAGAATTATACAATAAATACCTCCAACCACCATCTTATCTCAACATAGTGCACGCAGTGTCAAGCCACCTAGACTAGTGGCCACATTGCAACATGATCGCGTAGCATTCGGTCAGCACTAAGAAGGACTTGACACATATGACATTGATCACCACCCAGTGATCAATCAATTGTGGTCAGTCAACTGTTTCAAACTTGATTGTTCCTTTTGCAAATGTCAATCAGTCATCTCAGACGTCATTGTTCATTTATTTCCATACCACCTGATTTCTGTCCCCATTCTTTCCTCTTCGATCTTCTAGATCTTCTGCCTCCAGACATTCTATTCCTTACTAGCTTTATATACTACTTATGTTGATATAAGTAGCACATACACACACCATAATATTAGTAAAATGTAAAACTTTTCACTTACATTCCAAGCTACTTATTGAATTTTCAATAATATGTATAACCCCAGTACCAGACATTAAATCTGTACGTTGTATAGCTATTTGTTTATTGCATATATCATTAATAATTAAATTTCCATTAGAATTTCTTTGAATACCAATATAAGTTTCAGCCAAGGTTGGACCAACACGTTTAGTATTTTTAACAATTGCATCTGAACAAATCATTTTATTCATGATATGTTGACGTGCTAAAGATTCTTTGATCTTAGGAAGAGAGAAAGAAGGAAACAAATAAAGAAAGGATGTTATTGATATATCATGAAGTAATGAGAAGATTTTCAGGAAGGAGATTTGATAAGACCATTCTAACCAATCTGCTACTTAAAAGATTATGGAATAGCTCAAGTGAATATGCAACTTTAAAGAACAATTGTAAAATTCACAATTTCTTCTGAGCTAGCAATGGATCGCTGGAAGTGGATAGGATACATATTGAGGAAATTCCCTAACTGCGTCACAAAATAAGTCCTCACATGGAATCTTGAGTGACAAAGGAATAGAGGAAGACCAAAGAACACATTATGCTGAGAAATGGAAACAGATATGAGAAGAATGAACAAGAATTTGATAGAATTGGAAAGGAAGGCCCAGGAGAGAGTGGGTTGGAGAATGCTGGTCAGTGACCTATGCTCCATTGGAGGTAGCAGGCTTAAGTAAGTAAGTAGTAATGGATATTCTAAAGCAATGATAATAATAAAGTAATGTAAAGCCTGAAGTTAAGTTGCCTACTACAACTTTCAAGTCTAAACATTCTGTAGGATTTAGTATTTAAGCCTGTAGAAGATCATATAAATGTACTGCTAATCACTATTATTATTAATAAAGATAAGAAAGAATATCTATCATTAGTGACTTAAGCATAATATTGTTCAGTCTACTTTCTTTCTGATATTCAAGAAGTAACACTTAATCTCATATACAAAAATGTGTCGCATAAAGTCAAGTTTATGAACCAATACCTCTGATCTTTTGTATCATTAACAGCCTACTTTATAAAGTTATCTCTGGTAAATCAATTATGTTTACTTCAGTCAGTCAGTTAGTCAGTGATCTTGAGTGCTGTTAGAAGTGTGAGGGCAGTTATCACTTCCTGGTTGCCCACACCGTGGAAAGGTTCTTCTAGAGGTAACTGAAAAGGAAATTGGGTTAGAAGTGGTTTTAATGATCTGAGAGCGTGACCGCAGTGCCCAAAGGACAACTGCTTAAGGTCGGTCACACACGACCTTTTTGTGGGCAACTTTCGTGTTACCTCTGTACTTTTTAAGACCTTACCGTCGCAGACCGATATCCGTGTGCATTTCCAGGGTCAACCTTTTCTAACCCCACCCCTCCTTGTGGGAAGGCAGCATCTCTGTTATGCTGGTTGTCTGAAGAAAACACCTTACTGCCGTCACACCTCTGTACAGTCAGCAGTACGACTTCCCCTTCGGATCTTGGATTTACTGCTTTTAGTCTTACCGCTCCTCAATCGAAGTGTCTGGCATGGTAAGACCTTGAGGAACGATAGTTCCAGCCACTATAGCTCACCACCCAGTGATCAATCAATTGTGATTACATCTCAGTCTTACAGGAGGTAGATCGCGGCCCAAATAGCTCAGTGGTAACGTCTCTGACTGTGAAGCTGAGTGACACGGGATCGAATCCGTCGGGGCGCACCATTCTTCTCAAGATTAAAGGTACACCTTGCTGACGAGTGCCAAGTAGCACGAAACCCGGATCCACGGTTCCCTGTTGACCACCTTCAATCACCATCTTATATCAACATAGTGCACGCAGTGTCAAGCCACCTAGACCAGTGGCCACATTGCAACTTGATCGATAACATTTGGTCAGCACTAAGAAGGACTTGACATTCATGATAATGATCACCACCCAGTGATCAATCAATTGTGAACTCTGTCTACTTAGTCTTTTAAACTACTTTGTATTTGAAAAAATTCATTCATTCATAATGCAATCTTCTTTTAAAAAGAATGTACACTTACTTCTGTTGAAACAATTCCTGATGTTATCTTATTCCAAACATTATTTGGTACTGCAAAAACTGTATACCAATCAATTGAATTTGGTTCATCTAATTTTGTTTTTATATCTTGAGGTAAACTTTGAACAAATGCTGTTAGATCAGATTCAGCATTTAAACGTTTTAAAACTGTTGGATATTTATATGTCGGTGGAAGAGCCTTCATGAATCAAGGAGGAATAAACAATGAAAGATATCAAAGTATAAAAGTAAAAGTTCTCAACTAAATTATTAATTAGGAGGTTTTTTGTGGAGATTTTTAGTAATATTCATATATAGTTGAAAGCGTGGGTCAATTGAAGCTAGACCATTATGGAAAACCTGAAAGCACTGAACGGCCGTTTCGTCCTATTGTAGGACTCTTTAGCAGTACGCAACGGCCGTCCAGTGCTTCCAGGTTTTCCATGGCAATCTAGCTTCAATTGACTCACGATTTCAACACTATATAAATTATTAATTGTTGTGTACAATGAAACTAGTAGATATCATCTTTGATTACTAATTGTCTTATGAACATCAAAGTCAGATTTCTTCAAGTTGATATGAATGAATTCTTGTATGAGATAAAATGGTAATCATCTACCCAATAATAAACTATTCGTTAACTGATATATTATCATTATTATTAGCTTTATTCAATACTATATTTTTTTGGTACGATATAGAATTCTCAGCACAAAGTATTTCAACAACTTTTCGTTTCTTACTTCTTCGTCGATCTTGACGATAAATATTGAGTGATCACCAGTTAGAAGTTAACAGTTCAGTCAATCGACATCTGAATAATGTACCTGGTTGGGATCCGCGTGACTATCATAACCAATGGTTGAAGACTGTGTGTGACATGGCTCACAATCGATCACAATGGCGTAGGTGTATACATTCTTTATCTTCTTTTAAATCTTAAGATTAAAATTGCTTCATAACTTTCTTCCTTCCTATACTATATCCTTATATACAACTTTTCGTTTATATACTACCACCATTAAATGAACTGCTTATATGAATTCGGTCCTCATCTTGTTTTGCTAACTAGTTATGACAACTTGGACTGATGCATATATGTGGCTGGTCCTACCTTGTGGCTGACTGACTGACTGACTGACTGACATTCTTTCTGTTGAATATTGCCAACAAATACGATATCTCTGATTAGGCCTTTAGTAACCTTTACAGTGAAAGGTTGCACACTTTTCAGAAACGCACGTGAGTAGCTTGTGCGATTAATAGCCATAATGATGTAGTAGTAAAACAAACAAAATTAGATAACTTTTTAAAATATCTAGATGACAGGAACAAGTAGCCCAGATGTTTAAGTCGACTGCCAAGGTCGAACAAAGTTATTCGTTACTTTACATACAACAAGAAATGTTACCTCCATCTTATCATAACGATCAGTATTATCTATCAGATCAGTAAAGACGGTACTATATATTGATTTAATAATATTGTTTCTTAACTATTCAGGGATATGGTTGAGAGTACATAAGGATAAGTTTATCCTGCTCCTTTTATGTAATCTTTCAACATTGAATTATTCATTCATAACTTACATATATGTATGTTTTATATTAGTCACTGTAGTACAATGTGAATGCATAATGGGAGCATTTTAAAAACTGACATTTATGTCAAGACCACATACTTACTCATTTACTTATTTACGTCTGTTACCCGTCGAGGAGGAGTATAGGTTGATAGATCACATATTAATTACTAATGTATTACTTACTATAGTATTGACTGAACAGTGTTTATTAGTTAATAAGTTTAATACAACTAATAGGTAATCTTTAATTACAAGACAATTGGTTGTATATCTCAAATATAAGTATGAATGAATTACAAGACCATTTATCTTTTCATTATCATTCCTTCTTGACAAATCTGTTAGATAAAGATAGTAATTAGCTACCAGGACTCAGTACCTAAGTGAATAACGCTATGGCGTTTGAAGCAAACGGTACTAGGTTCGAGTCCAAGAGTGAACACCAACTCTGAGATGCAGTACATCCAGCTGATGAATCCCGAAAAGGACGAAACCCGCATCCTGGATTCCACTACTAGTTACTATCCATCTCTGCTTATAAAGTATATGCATTAAGGCTATGTCGAGGCAATACGCCCAGTATGCACATATGCCAATAAGCGACTTATCAATCGCAGTCCTAAGTATCAATAGGAAGATTCAACTAAACAATACCAACTGAATTTAAAGATAAAATCAGTTTAGAGTAGAATGTGAAAAAGCTTAGACTATAGTTATATTACTTGCTTTGGCTTGATTGTGTTGATTTAAGCGTTCATTCAGTCTTATGTGTTTGTTTAAACAATTTTGTTTTCCTTTTTTCTTGAATTTATTAAATTTCCCGATTAAAAATCATCAAATATAAAAGTTATTCTTTTTTGATGGAGGTTTGTTCTCGGAGTTGGACGGTATGGTCGTGGAGCTTTCATCATTCTTTTGAATGACATCATCAGCATAAAATTCAAGTATATATTGAAATTAAATCGTTTATCATAATTCTTTATATTGTTCTATACTACTTAACCTATTGGATAATGACTACTAAACTACATGTCTTAGCTCAGAGGTACAATCTTCATAGAGCTCTATAACTGGATAGTAATTCAGTATTGAATAAGTCGATTAGCTGTTGTTGAATGGATCAACTTCAGTATCATTCGATATGAAGATGATAACTTATTTTATCCGGTGATGACTTTGAATAATTATTCAAATGAAGACACGGACAGTGTATGTCTCAATCTCGAGTAAGTCTAATTCATTCATCAGTGATTTATTTGTGTTTAATCCATTCGTAATGTTCAGCCGGTAATCATGTGATCCCATCAAATTATAATGTAAACACTAAACTACTTGAACTATTTAATCTTCTACCAGAAGGTTGTGCTGATGATGTCATTCAGAAGAATGATGAAAGCTCCAAAACCAAACTATCCAGCTCAGAGAATAAAACTCCATCAAAACGAAACTACTTAATCAAGAAAGAAAAAGAAAATGTTAACATGGTAATATAGATAGTTTTCTTTCCCCATCTGACTTACTCCGTCTATTCGATGAATTAAACCATTTGATGCTTCATGATCTGGACTTAGTAATGCTTTACAATCCAAGAAAGTTAACTATAAAACAAATTTTATAAAAAAAATATTTAATTGATATCCGAACAATCAATAGAATTAATTTAATGTAGATATAGAGCATTTTGAATTGAAACGTAGGCTAGTCTCAGTGTTGTTACATTTTCATTAAGTGCTCTGGCGCGAGACTGATAGGTCCCAGGTTCGAATCTTGCGGGACGGGATCGTGCATTCTCACTGCTGAGGAGTTGCCTACTAGGACGAAACGGTCGTCCAGTGCCTCCAGGTTTTCCATGGTGGTCTAGCTTCAATTGACTCATGATCTCATCTACAAAATTACAAAAATCTCCACGAAACCCCCTTCTGACATTTCATTTCTCTTTGTGAATATAAAGTTAACAAGATTACTGAAATAAAAAAAGTAGTCTAGCAAAGTATACTTGTATTGGTGAATAACTTCATAGAATAAATAATTTTGTAAGTATTCGACATTGGTTCTGACTATACCACTTTTAATAGGTATCTACCCGCTGAATGAGCTCAATCAAGCTATACCATCAGGTAACACCGTGACCTGATGCAAAACTCTTCTTCTGTTCTAGGCAACTAGTTTAGAAATCTTAGTTTCTACTAACTCTGTAAAACAGACCGAATAAAAGTTTCCTCCCGAGTTTCCAAGCGTTATTTGGATTGTTTTAACAAATAATACTACTATAAGCAAAGATGGATAGTGGCTAGTAGTGGAATCCAGGACGCGCGTTTCGTCCTATTTGGGACTTGTCAGCTAGATATACCTGCATCTCAGAGTTGATGTTCATCTGTGCTTAAATGATTGATACTTAAGGCCATATCGAGGCAATCCGAACAGGGTGCACATACGCCAACAACATACTGATCAATAGCAGTCCTAAACATCAATGAGAAGATTCAAACAAACAATACCAAATGAATTTAAACCCCACCACATTGCACAGGCAAGTGACTATCAGCACTCAGTAACGGAGTGGATAATGCGAAGATGTTTGAAGCAAACGGTACTGGGTTCGAGTCCCAGAGTAAACATCAACTTTGGGATGTGGATACATCCAGCTGATGAGTCTCATATAGGACGAAACGCACGTCCTGGATTCCACTGCTAGTCACTATCCATCTTTTTGCTTATAATTCTTGACATAGTTTGATCATCATCATCATCATCATCATCATCATCATCATCAATTAATCTCTGCTTTGTTACAGTTTGAGAATCCACTCAAGTTTTTTTAACTATAACAAGCTAATCATCTTAGATCTTGTCAACAACTATATACATTCCTATGCATTTCTACCTAAAGTTTCTACTGATAATATTGTTCAGAAGAACGATCAAAGCTCCACGATCAAACCGTCCAGTTCAAAGAACAAAACTTCATCAAAAATACATTTCAGTGTTTGGGACAATTTACATCAATGAATGTACATTGAAGTGAATACATTTACAAACGCATTATATTTATATACATATAAAGTAAATATCAACCTTAAAGTTTATAATCATTAACAAAAAAAAACACATTAAAATGAGATAAAATTCGTTAAATTTAGACTGATCTATTTGATGATCAAATATAATTGTCCAAAGTTTAGTTCAAATAAACCTTTATCTCTACGGCTGATAATTGAAAATTGGACAATTTGTTTCTAGGAGGTGACTACGTACTAAGTATATGACATATATTTACATAGAGAGAGAGGGGAGGGTGGGAGGAAGAGAGAGAGAGAGGGGGGAAGGAGAGAAACAGAAGGATAGATAGATGGATTCGTAACTAACTGGTATATATATATATAGAGAGAGAGGGAGGGAGGGAAGGAAGGAGAGAGAGAAGGGTAGATAGATAGATAGATAGATAGATAGATAGATAGATAGATAGATAGATAGATAGATAGATAGATAGATAGATTTGTAACTAACTGGTGATTATATACATATACATTTATATATTGATAATAGGACAATAATTTCACTCAATTATAAACTTCATTATTATGTAAAATGTATTAAACTAGTTAATTCACTTTTTGTTTTTTCTTCATTGTTTGATATGTATGTATATATTCATAACAGTGTGAGTTTCATTTTGATATTCATTTGTATTATAAAATTGATATTCATTGGATCCATAAGTCGATTAAACCTAGATCACCTATGGTAAACCTGGAAATGCTGGACGGCCATCCATTTCTAGTATTGGACTCCTCAGCAGTAAGCATTCACTATCGCTCATGTGGGAATCGAACCCAGGACCCTGGGTATCACGCGAGAACGCATAGCCTCTAGACCACTGAGCCGGCACCCAGCAATGTGTAACTTAAAACAATCCATAAAATTGCGCCACCATCCACCATTATCTTCAGTGAGTTACTGCCTCATAATCGATGCGGTTGAACCACAGGAAATACCTCTTGTATCCAATCACTATTGAGCACATGATGATTATTATCAGAAAGGAGTTTCGTGGAGATTGTAGTAATTTAATAGTTGAATTCATGAGCTGATTAAAGCTAGAATCATGGATGTGCACTGCTGAGGATTCCCATACTACGACGAAACGGCTGTTCAGTGCTTTCAGGTTTCCCATGATGATCTAGGTTTTTTCGAATCATTAGTTTAACTATTAAATTACTACAATCTCCACAAAACTCCTTTTTCATATTTATTGAATGATCATAGAAAAATCGAGACCTATAGATTTCTATTCATCAATAGATAATCAATAAAAAATAGTTGACATTGCAAAACTTGATCTTTCATTAGTATAAAATTACAATAATCAATAATCAAGTCAACAGAATTGCAGTAACCAGTGATGTAATTATTCTAGTTACAATTTTTATGCTCCATAACCTGAATTATAACCTAGTAAATGAATGCTTCAATATTGTCATGGAAACCTGAAACCCTGGGTTATCACAACTAAAATATTTTAAAAAAAAACCCAGTATGAACTAACACTAAAGAATCTCACCTAGTTTCTGTTTGTTTTGCAGACGATTTCAAATCTCACATTCAGTAGTATATTAAACAAGTGAAACTATGCGATATTTCAGAATCATTCAAGTTTTTTTCGGCAATAGTGAGAAGTTATCAATGACATAAGTTGCTACACAGAATACACTTTCAGTTTTCAAAACTAAAACCGATTATAGAAGTTTACTAACTCACAAACTTGAAGAATAACACGTGGAATCCAGGACGCGCGTTTTGTCCTATTTGGGACTCGTCAGCTGGAAAAGCAAGTGGCTATCAGGACTCACTAGCTAAATGAATAACGCAATGGCGTTTGAAGCGAAAGCTACTGGGTTCAAATCTGAGATGCAGGTATATTCGGTTGACGAGTTCCAAATAGAAGGAAACGAGCGTCAAACTGCATTCCACTTCTAGCCACTATCCATCTTTGCTTATAATATACTGGTTGGTTACTTAGTTTTAACCAATGTGTGATGATTGTAGAAAATGAATGATTCTTCTGTAAATAATCGGATGGTTCATTCTAAGTATAATCCTACGAATTCAATCATTAATTTGTTATATCTTCAAATGGCAATCTAACCATAGTTACTATCGTATATTTTGAACAGATCTGGGAATATTTGTTGCATACAACACATTAATTACCAGTACTTATTGTACAATGTTATATTGTCTAATCCTTTATACTGACTAGATTCAATTAATCAAGTTACTTTTTGATCCTGGATCTTCATCACATAACAACAGATCTTTTTTATTTTGATATTATTTGACTGTTAGCAAAACTTCAGAACTGAAGTCAGTTCTAAAAAAAGTTGAATCATAACTAATTAGAACATAACATTATCAGTATAAGCAAAAGTGTACAGTAGCTAGCAGTGGAATCCAGTTTGACGCACGTTTCGTTCTATTTGAGACTCGTCAGCTGGATGAGAAGATTCAAACAAACGATACCAAGTGAATTCATAACATTACCATATTTTAGAAAAACTAAATGAGTAGTATAGCAGGTTATATAACTGTCTTCGACTGAATAATTAATAAGAAACCCAAATCTATTCATGAATAATAGTAACCAATGAACTAGTAGTAATGTTGTGTGGTCTACTTATATCCATATAAGTAGTATATGGTGATGATCAGACATAGAATGCATTTTGGCAGAAGACCGATAAGGATAGAACTGAAATGAAGCGCGATCGGTAGGAAAATGCATGAACAGTGAAATCAGAGAAAACGGACCGATATTTACAGAAGGAACGGTCAAGATGGAGACAATAGGTTGATAGTTTGCAAATTAACTGTTTACTGTATGGTTATCAGAATATAGTGAGATAGTCGGTAATTTGTGCTTAAATACATTCGATTGTCCCCAACCAGTGTTTTTGTTCATGACAGTAATAAGTATTGATCAGTTGTTGAATTCAAGTCCATACTTTTGTCATATTAGATTGAAAAACCATATTTTACTAATATTAACGGAAATGGACACTGACAGCTAGGAAGTTGTAAGTTTCGGGATATTCAAGGAATCGTACAGGTTCGAAAAAAGGTATAGATTGTATATCATATGCTTCATGAAGATCAAATAGGATTTGATTGACACCATACATTTGATATGATCTGTCTGAAATCAAACAACAAATCTCGCGAGTGCGGGATGCGCACTGCCACTGAGGAGTCCCATAATAGGACGAGACGGCCGTCCAGTGCTTCCAGGTTTTCCATGGTTGTCTAGCTTCAATTCACTAACACTTTCAACTATGAATATAGAAATGATACTCATGAATGTTAGATGTTGACAGCTTCCGTTTCTCTGAATATCTTATATTGTATAGTGATAAAAGTGTTACAAACAAAGAACGTAATCAGTCATTGGTTATATTCCAATTTTTGTCTAGTCAAACATTTCCTTGGAAAGATATATTTATATATACAAAAACGTGGTCAGTGGTTTCGTCTTTTAAATTATATTTCATCAGAATTCTAGGGTTTAATTTCACTGAGAAACTACCATATAGGCTACTTCGTTCATTTAATTTATGCATTAAATTTCTCAATTTATCTTAATATCTATAAAGAATTGTAAGGTACTGTGAACCGCTATTGTAGTGAACAAGGAACACTGGGTAAGGAAAACCGAATGTACCTGTTCATGCATTTTCATACCGATTGCGTTCCGTTTCGGTTCTTTCTGTTATATCCCGATAACAATAGTGAATGGTAACTTTGGGATCCATTTATGAACCAATATTATGCATATAATTTTTGTCATGCATTTGCCAAATAATTAAACTACTCATATTCATGTTCCTTTCACTGTGAGCTTTATTTTGACCCTTGGACTATCATTGTACAATTTACCATTCCTGAGTTATACCCAGTCTATTAATTACTGTTCCCCCTATTCACAGCTAAATCTTGTACAAATGTTATTTCCTATTTTATTGGTACGATGTGGTCAGTCTGTTTAGTATATAAACTCAGTATGTTTGAAATACAAGGATACATACCACAGAGGCTGTTATTGGTGTTATGGGCTTCACTGGCTGGGCTAGGCAGAAAGCAGGACCGATGCGTACTCTAGACTGCTGGTACGGTTTTCGTGTGTGACTGTTCAAATAGATAATTCGCTGCTCTCTGATTGGTGAATTTATCATGACATACGTTAGCAATGCATCCACTCGGCCACAAGATATAACACTTTCCTTATCAATCTTCTGGTGAAATATATTCTATGCCTGACCATCACCATATACTACTGATGTGAATATAAGTAACCTAAATCACACTATGATTAATATTAATTGAATAATATTATAATTTAGTTAACTTACACCATTAGAATAAGTTGTCACTTTTATATTAGTACCTTTAGTGGTTGGAATTTTTTGACCATTATGAAATTCCTTTGAATACCATCGACCAGAAGAGACCATTGTGCCTACTGCATCAGTATCACTAAAAGAATTTGAATATTGAATAATCATATACTCTTATTGTTGTTGTTATCATTAAAAAAAAAATAAAATTGCTTCATTTAAACTGGACAAAAACTGCTTGCTTTAAAGAGTCAATTTTGTTTTGAAATTTAATTGTTTACAACTTACCCCTCGTGGAGGAGAATAGGCCACACACCGGCATTCTCCATCAAACCACATACTGGGCAATCCTTTCCAGTTCATTCCAGTTAACATTCATCCTTTTCATATCTACTTCTATTTCCCAAAGTAATGTGTTCTTTGGCCTTACACTTTTCCGCTTCCCTTCACCATTACAAGTTAGGGATTGCCTTGTAATGCACATTGGTGATTTCCTCAATGTATGTTCTATCCACTTCCAACATCTTTTCCTAATTTCCTCTTCAGTTGGAAGCTGGTTTGTCCTCTCCCATAAAACACTGTTGCTGATAGTATCCGGCCAGTGAATGTTGAGAATTTTGTGTAAACAACTGTTTATAAATACTTGTTCCTTCTTGACGATGGATGTAGTATTTCTCCACGTTTCACCTCCGTACAATAGAACTAACTGACTTGACGTTCGTATTGAAGATTCTCACTTTAAAGTTAGTTGACAGGTGTTTTGAGTTCCATATATTCTTCAATTGTAGAAATGCTGTCCTTGATTTGCCAATCCTCGCCTTTGCATCTGCATCAGATCCTCCTCGTTCATCAATGATGCTTCCCAGTTACGTGAATGTTTATACATCTTCTAGAGTTTCTCCATCAAGTGTGACTGGATTAGTGTTCTCCGTGTTGTATTTGAGAATCTTGCTTTTTCCTTTATGTATGTTGAGGCCTATTGATGCAGAGGCTGTTGCTACATTAGTTGTCTTCGTCTGTATTTGTTTGTGTGCATGAGATAGGATAGCTAGGTCATCTGCGATGTTCAAAAATTGTTAACAAGGTTAAAGAAAAATGTTCCAATAAATTTATGGCTCAGCTGAGTGTTTTTATTTATCTAGTTTTCTCTAAGCCAAAGGGTTTGATTAGGAAGCTATCATTGCCTATCTGAAGAAAATTATCGACACTTCCTTTGCATAGAAATGAACAGCTAGCTTGAATCAAAAATGTACAGGAAAAGCATCTTAAAACTAAAAAGGTGATGATGATGATGATGATGATGATGATGATGATGATGATGATGATGATGATGATGATGATGATGATGATGATGATGATGATGATGATGATGATGATGATGATGATGATGATGATGATGATGATGATGATGATGATGATGATGATGATGATGATGATGATGATGATGATGATGATGATGATGATGATGATGATGATGATGATGATGATGATGATGATGATGATGATGATGATGATGATGATGATGATGATGATGATGATGATGATGATGATGATGATGATGATGATGATGATGATGATGATGATGATGATGATGATGATGATGATGATGATGATGATGATGATGATGATGATGATGATGATGATGATGATGATGATGATGATGATGATGATGATGATGATGATGATGATGATGATGATGATGATGATGATGATGATGATGATGATGATGATGATGATGATGATGATGATGATGATGATGATGATGATGATGATGATGATGATGATGATGATGATGATGATGATGATGATGATGATGATGATGATGATGATGATGATGATGATGATGATGATGATGATGATGATGATGATGATGATGATGATGATGATGATGATGATGATGATGATGATGATGATGATGATGATGATGATGATGATGATGATGATGGTGATGATGATGATGATGATGATGATGATGATGATGATGATGATGATGATGATGATGATGATGATGATGATGATGATGATGATGATGATGATGATGATGATGATGATGATGATGATGATGATGATGATGATGATGATGATGATGATGATGATGATGATGATGATGATGATGATGATGATGATGAAGATGAGGAGGAGTGTGATTGGAAGGACTCGAAAGTTCTTTGAATGTTCATGTAGATTACACATTGAGTTTTAAAAAACAATTTACTGGGATCGTTTGATCTGTTTTTTATAATTTTTAGCAAGGATCATTAAGATTTGACTGTGGTATTTGAAGAACTGACGATTCTTATGGAACTCCAGCAAGCTGTGTATTCTAATTCTGGTCAACTGAGAACATATATATATAAGTTACATAGATTAATAGGTTATCTATAAGATATGCATACCCTCAACCTTATCATCAAGTAGTTTAAAAGCACTATTCACTGACAAATATAATAACATGTATGCGTATAGCATCATTTATTGCTTCAGTATAGGTCGGTAATGATTCCTAAATTACTTTGGATATTGATTTCTTTCTTTTTTCAGCTTATACAAATAAAGATAAGTTAACAAGGTCACGAAAGCTAACTGTTTTTTTATTCAGTAAGTCATTTAGTGGAACTGTCATTGTGCTGCGGAAATTAGGATCATAAGCACTATCACTAATAGGAGATATGTAAGAATTAAGTATAACAGTTATTTGTTCAGATTTCATTGGTTGATATATAACATACACAATTGGAAACGATATATATAGTAACCGATACCTGGCTATAACTGCGATCACACATTATTATTATACTCTTTAGTAAGATTTTAACTTTTCTCAACTTCGGCGATTTCATGGAGATTCCGTTTGCCAACTAAGTGCTTTTCATCACTCGGTGGCGTTTGCTGTAACTCATTTGTGAAGTAAAGATTTGTATATATGACTCTATGCATTGTTTTAAGTATGAGGATTAGTAATATTGTATAGTTGCACAAACAGAACTCAATGAACTGAAGTTCAAACTTGCCAGCACCTGTTTGGTGGTTGAATACCAGACCCAATAATCTACCGTGTCAGCTAGAAACAGTTCAAAGCTCCAGAACATTGTTGAGGTGACTTTTCATAGCTAACAAATTATTAATGGTCTAAAAATTCATTTCAATGTGATGTTATAGATAAACACTGTTAAAGTGTTCCAAGCTAAGGTGTAACAGCTATCTAGGGTTTTCAGTTTTCATCATATTTTTATAGTTGAGATCATGAGTCAATTGAAGCTAGACCACTATGAAAAACCTGGAAGCACTGGACGGCTGTTTCGTCCTATTATGGAACTCTTCAGCCTTTGCCAATATAACACATTAATAAAGAAAATCCATATCAATACTCATACTTACCTGACATAATCAATCTCTTTCGATACAATATCATCGTCTTGTTGTGGTACAAATACTGTATAAACATTTTTTGTTGAATTCGATGATAAATCTTGTAAATTATTGCCTTTTGATAAACTTTGTGCTATTTGTAAACTCTTCTGATCTCTTAATTGATCAATAATTGGTTGCCATGAACGATCAATAAAAGCACATTTATTATCTAATAATTCAATTTTTTCATAACCTGGACAACAATCATTTTCAAATTTTACACCTGGTACCCTGTCAGATTGGAAAGTGTAAAGAACAAATGAAATAACTACTATTATCTATTTTGAAAGTAGTATATTAAGAAAACTAACTTCAAAGTGAGAATCTTCAATACGAACGTCAAGTCAGTTAGTTCTATTGTACGGAGCTGAAACGTGGAGAACTACTACATTCATCGTCAAGAAGGTACAAGTATTTATAAACAGTTGTCTAAGCAAAATACTCAACATCCACTGGCCGAATACTATCAGCAACAGTGTTTTATGGAAGAGGATAAACCAGCTTCCAACTGAAGAGGAAATTAGGAAAAGATGTTGGAAATGGATAGGACATACATTAAGGAAATCACCAATGTGCATCACGACTCAATCCCTAACTTGTAATGGTGAAGGGAAGCGGAAAAGTGTAAGGCCAAAGAACACATTACTTTGGGAAATAGAAGCAAATATGAAAAGGATGAATGTTAACTGGAATGAACTGGAAAGGATTGCCCAGTATGTGGTTTGATGGAGAATGCTGGTGGGTGGCCTATGCTCCTCCAGGAGGGGCAACAGGCGTAAGTAAGTAAGAAGTCAGTAATATTAAGAAAAATATAGGATAATCAATTCAGATTACGATAATGTAATATCACTATAGTTTCTTTATGAAACTGTAAACTACTTTTCGTTGAAGCCCTTTAAATTATGTATCTGATCATTTGTATATTCATCCATTTTAATCGATTGATTACTATGTAGACAGTAAATAATCCCTGTGATCAATGACATTGTCTATGTATGTGAATTTAGGTGACGAAGGTTTGAATTCCATTGAAGGAATCATATTTTAGGGTATCTTACTGAAGAAAACTGCATAGGATGAAATTAAAATTGATTGATCACTGCGTGGTGATCAATATCATGTGTGTCAATTCCTTCTCAGTGTAGATCGAATGCTATCGATCAAGTTGCAATGTGGTCACTAATCTAGGTGGCTCGACACTGCGTGCATTATATTTCCTATTGACCATCTCCAACTACCATCTTACCTAGGATGAAACCTATGTACAAAGTTTCTTACTAAAAATATGTGAGTTTAAATTTGTTTTAAATTCGTGGAGTAATATCATATGGAAGGTTTACATGAATCTGATCACCTTCCTGGATTAATAATAACAGTCTACAATGAATAAAATAAAATCGGTCTTTAAAATCTTGTAAATATTCGTACTCTGCATTCATCACAGATTAATCTGAGTTGGAATATCACTGGAAATCAGGGAACACTATCCATATATTTCATTCCAGGATAGAACTCCCCAGTAGTGTGCTTGCTCAGTGTCTCTAGTCGTTAAGAGTTCAGTTTAAGGCTTGAATGTCTTTGATCTGATCTGCGGTGCAGTTATCGGTGTATACTGATGATTAGTCTCATACTAAAATAAAATAACATTTTAGTGGTGCTTGGCTTTCGGTAGCATCTTCTGATAAGATCAATCTTTACGAATTTATACAATTAACACAAAATGGTTCTAGGTAAACTTTAAAAGAATTAATAAAGAAGGGGTTTTGTAGATATTATAGTAATTTTAATAGTTGATATCATGAGTCAATTGAAACTAGACCACCATAGAAAACCTGGAAGAACTGGATGGCCGTCTCGTCCTGTTGTGGAACCCCACAGAAGTGCGAATCCACGATCCCGTCTCGTGAGATTCGAAACCCAGAACCTGTCAGTCTCGCGCGCAAGCGCTTAATGTCTAAACCACTGAACCGGCTTCCGACGGTTATTTATACATAAAATGTACAAATCACTGAGAAATGGTGACTAAACTTTTGTGTAATATTCTTTTTTTAGGCTAGAAAGTAACCAAAATCTTACGATGAAACTGTCCATAATTGTCATTTACATTTCTCGACTACAACATAGTAACTATTTTCTTGTTTCGTTTGTTCTCATTGTTTATCGAATTTCAGCGGTCAAGTTACAATGTGATCCCACTGTTTAAGCGATTTGAAATCTCAATATGAATAACTCAATTTTGACATATCTGGTTGTATATAACTGGGTGATAAGGATTTATATCTCACGGTAGGAGGGGGGAATAATATATCACATTGAAAAGAAAACAAATGTTTCACTTAGTAACCATCATATTGTAATTTTGCCTTTTTATTCCATCATATCACTCTCAATATTGAAGACAAGCACTGATGATTGATAGAAACTATCTCAAAATGTCGGTTCAAGGTTTCGTGATTATCACCTTCAATTATGTAACGTTAACTGACATTTGAAATAAAACACTCATATATAAAAATTATCTTAACTTGATCTTTTTCTGTTGTTTTTGGAATTTCATCTGTTTAAAATCTCCACATTTTTCCAGTCGATTGTGTGTCCGTAGTTGTCCACGTGTATTGATATGAGTGAAGACATGTTGTGGCGTTTGACTGCTAATTGATGTCCATACAGGCGAAGATGAAGAGGGCATCCACTTTGTCCGATGTAATGTTTTTCACAGTTGGTACAATTTATTTTATAAATGATATTTTGTTTGTCTTCTTTTGTCATTTCATTCTTTGGTTTACATAAGATTGAACGAAGGAATTTTGTTGGTTTATGGACAACACCTATTCCGAAGGTTTTCAGCAGCCTCGTTGTCGTTTCTGATATACCTTTTTATGTATGGTATGGTACCATAAATTGATCTTTCCTAACAGATTAATCTTTTATCTTAACACTCGACATCTAGAATGTTATTCTTTTTAACCACTTGCTTCTAAAACATTCTATCACTTTATGATTCTTTTTATCCTATCATTAATTACTGACTGATGAAAGTTAACTCACTCTATGATCACTCATAGTTATTAAATCTATTGTATAGACATTTGGTAAATATGTGTGATTGGTCGCTTATAGATACGTTATTTATTGGTAAAAAAAACTTTATAGGGATGTAAGTTCGTCGAGCTTTGTTTTCCAGACCTTTAATGAACATTCAACAGCTCTATCTAACAGCACGTAGAATAACTATAATGGTTTCTCCTCATCACGATTTATAATTCTATCTATTCTGTTATTTAATTTATAATGAGGGGAAATTCGTCACTTACTTACTTACTTACGCCTGTTACCCCTCGTCGAGGAGCATAGGCCGCTCACCAGAATTCTTCATCCAACTCTGTCCTGAGCCTTCCTTTCCAGTTCTTTCCAGTTAACATTCAGCCTTTTCATATCGGCTTCTATTTCCCGGCGTAGTGTGTTCTTTTCCGCTTCCCTTCCGGATTCCAAGTTAGGGATTGAGTCGTGATGCACATTGGTGATTTCCTTAATGTATGTCCTGTTCACTTCCAACATCTTTTCCTAATTTCCTCTTCAGTTGGATGCTGGTTTATCCTCTCTCATAAAACACTGTTACTGATAGTATTCGGCCAATGAATGTTGAGTATTTTGCTTAGACAACTGTTTATAAATACTTTTACCTTCCTGATGATGGTTGTAGTAGTTGACCGAATAAACAGTTTTCGATACAGACTAACGTCGACTGAAAAACTTTTGAATATCAAGAAGGGTCATATAGCTGTTTCGACTTAATGCAGAATTTCGTACCAATGTACTCTTACAACTTTCTATATTGATTGAACAAAAGAATTCCAAGTCATTTAGAGAACAGAATGCCTGTAAATCATATGGTTGAATGTTATTAAGTCACGTTAGGGAGTACAGTAACGGTATATAAATGGATAGCTACCTTAATTCAGACTTCATTGATCTCTGCCAATAAATTCATACTAAAATTCAAGTAACCATTTTCACTTTCAGCTAATCTCCAAAAGAATCATTTAAATAAATAATCAGAAAGTACTTTATAAATTCATTTATTTACATTCATTTTTTATAGTTGAAATCAAGAGTCAATTGAGGCTAGACCACCATGGAAAACCTGGAAGCAATGGATGGTAGTTTCGTCCTGTTTAAGGACTCCTCAGCAATGCGCATCCACGATACGCGATACTGATAGGTCCTGTGTTTGAACCTCGAGAGGCGGGATCATGGATGCGCACTGCTGAGGAGTCTCATAATAGGACGAAACGGCCATTCAGTACTTCAAGGTTTTCCATGGTGGTCTAGCTTCAATTAATTTATGATTTCAACTATATAAAATTACTAAAATCTCCACAAACCCCCCCTTTCTGATAATAATCAACATATACTCACTAGTGACTGACTTCAAAATCTATGAAACTTACTTAGTTTGTAAATATGATACAGAACCACATATCCAACCTAATGTACGTTTCTGTTTCCATTGCATCCATAAATATGGACATGTATAGGCGTCTTTATTCACATATTGAGTATAAATTACAGTTAGATATTGTAATAAATGTAATAATATAATCCATAGCTTAAACATCATCATTATGATTATCCTTTCATCAACTAGACGGATGGATTAAGGTAAATGATAAACCAGTTTTTATATAGATTAAATTTTCTAATCTATAAATTGGACACTTTAGAGAGCGAGAGAGCGAGAGAGGGAACATAGAATTCATAATTATCTAGGTAGTTACATATTTAAGTAACAAATAGTAGTAACTATGGGAATTGATTTCTATTACCGAATAGATAATGATTGAATAAATCGGTACAGGTAAACATACATAGTTATACATAGATATACAATTTTAATAAGTAGATTAGTATCAATATAAGGTATCATGGATACTGTGTAATTTTCATGGAATAATTGAATCATTTTTTCTGGTTAACGTTTTTTTAGCGAGTTGGTTTTCTACGGGATGGGGTTGTTAACCACATACCCAACCCTCTTCCTATACCCGGGCTTGGGACAGGCAGTAGCCCCCGGAAGAGCTACGGGTGAAGAAGAGCAAGACCAAAGAACACATTAAGGAAAATAAATGGAGACAGATATCAGAAGAATGAACAAAAACTGGATAGAACTAGAAAGGAACGCCCAGGAAAGAGTGGGTTGGAGAATGCTGGTCGGCGGCCTATGCTCCATTGGGAGTAACAGGCGTGAGTAAGTAAAAAGTAAGTAATTTTCATAGTGCAAATCTTGAAATGATCTTTGATAGATCATCAATAGAAATCAGGAAGAACTTGACTGCTAATACGTATTAGTATGAGACTCTTCAGTAGTATAGGTTCACAAAATGAATTTCCATTGTTTTCTTATTTCCAATGATGGTTTTCAAAAGTTTCAGCTTGAGTTTGGAAAGGACAGGAGGCTTGATGGCCTGTGTTATTCCTGTCAACGATGGTCTCTGAGTTGATCCAACTTTCTTTTGAAACAGTCGACGGATGGAGCCTCAACCACGTGCTGAGGTAATGAATTCTACTCGTTGATTATTCAATGGGAAAGTTGATAGTTAGCTGGCAAGTAATTCGTTCAGTTCATAAGCTAAACCATTAAAATAAATCATTATTATAAAGTTTTAACATAATCACGAATATATGTAAACTAACTAATGAATAAATTCACTTGTTATTGTTTGGTTTAATCTTCCCATTGATGTTTAGGGCTGCAACTGGTCAGTCTCTTATTCACTATATGTGCATACTGTGCTTATCATCTCGATGAAGTCTTAATTCACAACTATTATAAACAAAGATGGATAGTGGCTAACAGTGTAATCCAGGTCGCGCGTTTCGTTTTATTTGGGATTCGTCGGTTGAATGTTCCTGTATCTCAGATTTGATGTTCATCAATGGCTAAATGCTAGTGAGTTAAAGCAATATCGAGGGAATCTGAATAGGGTGCACATATTTTGAGATGGTGGAGAAGATTTGTAGCTGAGGTGGATGATTTTGATAGAGTTTTGTTCTCTAAGCTGGATGGTTTGATCTTGGAGCTTTCATCGTCCTTCTGAACGACACCATCAACACAAACTTCAGGTAGAAGTGAAGTGTTCGAAATCATGCAGGTACATAGGAATAAAAATTAAACCAATAAAAGATACAACCAAAACAAAGAAATAAACAATGACAGATTTAATGTCAACAAGAATCAATCAACATCAATGTGTACAGGACAAGCTGTGAATCACATGTGGAGAAGTTCGAAAACTTCACTTCTACCTGGAGTTTGTACTGATGATGTTGTTCAGAAGGACGATGAAAGCTCCACGACCAAACCATCCAGCCCAGAGAACAAAACCTCATCAAAAAAGGTGCACATATGCCAAGAAGAGACTGATCAATTGCAGTTCTAAACATCAATGGGAAGATTTAAACAAACAATACTAAGTGAATTCAATACTAAGTGAATTTAAACCTCACCTCATTGCACAAGCAAGTGGCCATCAGGACTCAATAGCTGAGTGGCATTTGAGGCGAACGATACTGGGTTCGAGTCCCAGAGTGAACATCAACTCTGTGATGCAGGTACATCCAGCTGACGAGTCTCAAATAAAACGAATCGCCCGTCCTGGGTTCCACTGCTAGTTACTATCCATCTTTACTTATAATAACTAATGAATACATAGAGGTTCATACTATTCAATTCAATTAATAATAGAATAATCATTAAAATCATTCCCAAGAATTTTCAATGTACTAAAGATCAATGAGGAACTTGAATGATAAGAGATAATTCGTTTTAATCATTAAAAAGTAAGTCTAACAATCAGGTATTCTTATTCAATTAGAATTTCCAGATTTTTAACTCAACAATTCTTATAAATGTATTAAATATCATTGAACCTGTTATTTTCTTTAACATTCACGAATTAACAGCATTTGTCCAATAGCGGAGCTACACGTAGAGACTCCGAAATATTCTTTCAAAAGGTGATTGAATGGGATATATTTGGCTCTTTCTGAGATTCTTAGAGCTTCATCAAGTTCACCCGTGGGCCGTCCTCATAATTTTATTAAATAATTTTGAGACAATTAGATGCCTACTGCTTTTTGCAACAGAATGCAAGCAACAATTTTTCCAGTCGAGTAACTCACAAGGTAAGACCCAGTATGTTTGTACATTGGTTCAGATTACCATAAGCCACTAGCACAGAGAGAGGAAACTATTAGAACAATTCCCAGACTTTTACAGATAACAACAGTATTGGTGGTTATAGAAAAGATAAAACATCGAAGATGAGGTTCAAGAAAACACAAATTAGTAAAATGAAGAGAGCATGAAAAAGTTAAAAACTTAGAATCTAAGGGATAAAAAAGAGTAGATGCACCTGCTTCACTGTAGACGATTTTGTGCCATGTTACTCAGAGTCCTTAACCACTGAATATGGCAATCTAATGTAGCCCAACCAAGTGGTCTACATCTATTAACATGTCTCAGTCAGGTTGTCTGCAACTTCATGAACTGGTGTCATGTTTTGGTTTGACCGCCCCTAGCTTTCTTTCAGTCTACTCTTGCACCAAGAAACATTACCCATCGAAGTAGGCGGTGATTGCCCGTACGTAACACATGTCTTAATATTTAACTTTATGGGGATTTATTATCTCATCATTCGATTTACCATCTTTATTTACTACTCTATTACTAATTTAGGCATTGGTCCCTTTCAAGTTGGTCTCCGTTATAATCGCCCGGGTGATGGAATGACGACTACGGAATCTCTTTGGAATTATAGTACTTATTGGAAGCCACTTCAGTAGGTTCATTGAATTATTGTCTGAAACTTTGTAGTAAGTAATTTACCACAGATGCAATTATAAACTAATCCCCAGATTGTTGAACACTGAACCCTAGCTTAGCCAAAGTCAGAACAAGTAAATTATTTGGTTCGATGAAGTTCATCTGTTTATAAAAAACAAATTAACACTGTTAGTACACAGAAAATAATTAATGCAGTCTAGTGAAAAAAGCGACATAAATAACTGTGGTGTTTGTATGAACTAATGGCTCTTTTGTTCTTGATAACTGCTTGGTTTGAAATTTCAAATACAATACGTTCGTTCGTGCTCATCTAGTACTTCTTGGTTAAACTGAATTATTTCTGGGATTCCTAGTTTGTACTATAATTCAAATACTCTTAATAATCACAATAACATACTGAACAGTAACTAGAGGATAGAAAAAATGAGTCAACAAAACTTAATATCATCAATCACAAACGTGAAAAGTTGTGAGTAGTGAATAAACAAAGCATAATCACACAAGGTCGAAGAGATTCAACATGATAGTGGGCATTAAATACTGTCATTAGTAGGTTCCTTCATCAACCACCAAAATTTCGTACAAATTCTGTAGACTAGGTACCATTGTTTGTAATTACAACACTCATTACTCTGAACGCTAATGAGGTGTACAATAAGTAACCTATTAGTTTACCTACATCCAGAAAGTTACGGCTACATGTTTTATAAAAAATATTGCTACAAATCGTGAAATACATGTTGTAAACGATTCAAAAGTGCATCGAGTGAAACTAAAGCTATGTCATAAAGTATTCACCATAAATTATGAGAGCCACTGTCTTTAACCTGAAAACCTCATTCTATCATCGGATATTCTATCGACAATCTGAAGTCAACGTGACCCATAAGTTAGATCGTAAGGATGGCAATATCAGTACTGCCAACACAGCATAACTTCTGGCTAAAAAATCCAATTCATTGCCCATAACTTCAGTAGTAGAGCTACAGATATTTTGAGTTTACACTAGAGTTCAACTGGTATATCATAAATTACATCTCACAAAGTCATTTGAATTGATATGAATTCCTTTTAATTCACTTGTCTGAGATAAATGAAGTCACTTTTGACAACATCTTAACGTACTGTTATAACTTTTCATAGTGTTTGCATGAACTAATGGTTATGTTGTACTTGATCACTGCTTGATTTCGAACTCCAAATGCAATACGTTTGTTTGTGCTCACCTAGTTCTACCTGACTTAAGTTGAGTTGTTTCGGGATTTCCTAGTTCGTATAATAACTCAAATACTTCTAATCATCGCACTTTCCTTAGGACAACGGTTTGTCCTAAGGTAGAAACATTTGCCTCAACCAACTCAAACATTCGAAAGAAGATGGTCTAAAGACTTTAGGAGTTACTAGCCTGCTAGTTTTCTAACGGCATTATACCAGTTAACGATCTCTCAAGTCTACGGCGGTTTGTGTCAATAACTCTTCTCAACACGGGTCTTTTCACCTCAGCGCTAGGTGACAAATTTTCAGTCCCACATTAGTGTAAGGTCTTCCAGTTCGTACTAATAGTCTCAGTTAAAAACTCTTCATTTTTCTGTAACTTGGCCCGCTGATATGGTGTTCACAACATAAGTTTCTCGTCGGATAGTTAAGGAGCAGGTCGCTTATGCATTTGGTACGAAAATTCGAGGAGGGGAAGGTAGGATATAACTTGTAGGGGATAGTTAAGGTAGACATTTTTTGAGAAAGATAGTCTACTTTAACTATCCCTCACACGTTAATGCTACTTTTTTGGTACTGTGTGTCCTTTTTAGAAGAAACGGTAAAACTGTAGACAAAAAATCCCCCTTTGTTGTTTCCATTATTTAAATACACGCGCAGAAGCTCAACAAACAAAAGTTTTAGGACCTATGTTATCAAATGTAATAATTTAGCCGAAACTGTAAATATCTCTGGTTGATTAATCGCTTCTGCTCACCTAACTCTTTTCCCATATGTGGAGAGTT